TTTTTTTTTTTTTTTTTTTTTTTTTTAAACTGGAAACACTGGTGGCAAATTACAAATCTTTTTCTAATATGTTAAATGCTCTTGTAGCTGCTCTTGTAGTAAGCTACAAAAAGCAAATATGGAAGGGCAGGGTGGCTGTTGAACTAGGCTTCCTGGCCTGGAGGCTAAAAGTTGAGATCATCTCCAAACTGTCCCAGGACAGCTGTGACCAGTTGCTGTTGTCATATGGCAGCTTCTAAGACTTTAGATTTTCATCTAAAAATTTTAAATCTTGGTGCTCTGCAACCCACTGGCAATCAAACTGAGAAATACATGGATTGAATTAATCCTTGCCCCACAAGTAACTCAGCCAGATCCAACAGGATGCTTTGAAGAACAGTTCTTTATGTATCTCTTCTGAGAGAAAAAAATAATTTTTCAGATCTCAGTCCAAAACCACCTATTACCTGAGTGGGAAACCCAGTCTTCAAGTGGCTATGCCATATTGTGGTGCTAGTCTGTAACTTCTCACCCTGCTTTTTGCTAGATTAATTTTTTTTTGCATGCCACTTTATTAGCAAGATCTCTTAACATATTTATCTGCAAAACTGTTCCTGTCAGCTCACATCTCTGGGAAAAACTCTCATGACTTGGAGTTGAGCTACTTTGTGGAATTTGCTGGATTGACCTCCTTAGAGGATTCTGCACACAGGTGTGGGGGAATCATCCTAGAGAAGCCAAGTGTAGGACTGCAGTCATGGGATCCAGCAACTTGGCTTTGCAGTGGAGGAGATCTAACATGTGCTAACCACAAATACAGTTTGTCAGAAAAATGTTCTCTGAGGATGAGAAGAGGTTTTTGTTTTTTTGAAGGAACAAGTAGTTTGATCCTAGTCAGCAGTGATACATGAAGTCCTATCCTAGGTGGTTGGAGATCTTTAAAACAACAAAAGATGAAAAGTAAGCATTAGGTTTTTGAAGTTATGTTAGCTGCTCTGCTTTCTCCCTTGCACTCTTTAGGATTGTTAGAAGCTGATAATACTTTACTGGCATGTGTTGTTGGTATGGAATCTGTGATTGTGAAATAAAGCTGTGCATTCTTCTCTAATTATTTTTTATTTCTATTTTTAGCTGAAGCTACAGTTCTTGTACTCCGAGAATCCCTGCCAATTTTTTTTTAATTGCCAGTGTTATAGATTTGCTGTGTTGCTTGTTTAATTCTGATAAAATAGCTGATAGTTGGCAAGGACCCTTGCTGATAAATTTTACCATGAAGTAAATGGGTTTTTTGTTTTTAAAAAGAGAATTTTTAAGCCTTCTGCATTATACAGCAAATTGCTCTTTTTTTTTCTACGTAACTAATTTATTTTTTCTACTTGAAATGTAAGTGTTTGAACAAGTGAGAGAGTGCAGCTGTCAGAAGATTAACCAGCTGAAAACTATTGTCAGCATTAATTTTGCTCTAATAAATGACTCTCTGAAGCTATTTAGCAGTCTGTAATCTAGATACAAGGCTATTGACCTATGATGGATAGTACTGGATTTTGTTTGTAAGCTTTGACTTAAATTGTCTACTTAATTTGCTGCAGGTCAGATCACAGGATTAGTAGTAAAGGCCATTATGTGGTTTGAATAAAAATAGCTAGAGGAATGGAATTAAAATCTTCGTGTTTATTAATGTAGCAATCTTTGTGGTCATGTACCTAATAAACCAGTAGCCAACAAGATGACAATGACCTGTTTGTGCTAGCTGTAAATCTAGACTTTACTCAGCCTAGTTCCTGTGAGTTGCCCAGGAGTTGTTCAAGTGAGATTAAGGATTGGCTGCGAATGGGGTGTATCTGAAGGAATATCTTTACCACAGTAGGTATTTCAGTACTTCAACAATATTGTTCTAGGAGGAGCAGTGGTGTATATATTGACTGATTGTTTTTAAAACTGTGGGTCTGAGCTTGTCTGGATGCTCCAATTCTGGACTCACCAGTACAAAAAAGGTACATACTTACTGACATGAGTCAGCTAAGGGCCATAAAAATGAGGAGGAGACTGGAGCATCTTTCATATGAGAAGAGGAAGAGAACTGAGACTGTTTCTAACACAAACAGAAGGCTCGGGGGGATCTCATCAATTTGTATGAAAAGCTAATGGGAGAGGATTAAGAGGAGGGAGCCTGATTCTGCTCATTGGTGTCCAGTGACAGGATAGGTGGGAGTGGGTAGAAATTAAAACATATGAAATTCCATCTGAAACACAAGAAAACACTTTACTCTGAGGGTAGTCAAACACTGGAAGAGGTTGCCTAAAGAGGCTGTGGAGTCTCCATCCTTGAAGATACTCAGAAGCCAAGTGGACATGGTCCTGGGCAACCTGCTCCAGCTGACCCTGCTCAGCCAAGGCGGTTGATCTACACAGTCTTGTGAGGTTCCTTCCAATCCCAACAATCCCGTGATTCTGTGATTCTGTGTCATAATACAGGTTGATCATCCACTTCCATCAATGTAACCCTCTTCCTCCTGTTGCCTATTTTCACATAATTGGTAGATACTTAGTATTTTTGAGGCCTTGATATGCCAGTGTTACCTAAATTACTCCATTAATTCAAAAGATGGTGCAGATTGGAAGGCAGAATGAGGGAGATAAATGCTTAGCAGATACAGAGAGGAGCAATTTTAGACACAGAAACACAGAGACAGTGACTCAATTGAAATTTTTATGAAAAAGCAAACAAAAATTCTTCAAATTCTTCAGTGTGAGGAGCTGCAGTGTTGCTGTCCTTGATCTCAGAAAGGAAGTCCAATACTGGCCACTTCATGCTGAGGTAGAGCACTTACATGGGCTTAAGGCTTTAAGTTGAGAAAAGCTCTGATGAGCCTGCTGTGATTGCCCACTTTATCAAGACTTTTTGTGCACAAATGTAGTTGCCATGGTGGCTTACTTATGGCCTTCTTTCTTTCTCTTTTTATTGTTTTTATTGCATAATTTCACTTAGTAATGGGGAACAAGGAAAGCAGAATGTCCTGTTTAAGTGGGATATACTTCTGACAGAATAACTTTTTTGTTGTTTGAGGTGAGATGGAGGGGTTTGTTTTTATGTGTTTGGGTTTTTTTTTAACAAAAAGCTCTATCTTCAACGGATAAGCTTTTTAAGATTGCAATTTTTTTTGTTGCTATACAACATCGAGCTTCATGAAGACAGTTCCGGTTACACTCAGGAAACTTTTCCAGTAAAACCATGTATTAATGTTTATTATGGTATAATAATGTTTATTATGTTTATAATTGGTGACAAAAAACTGAATCATAGCTGGAGAGCAGCCTGACTTACTGTAGAATTAGAGTGGTCTGCTACGTGGAAGATGAGCAAACTGTTTCTCTTGGATATTCTGTGTGTAAGAATACTGTACCTAATTGAGTACATTTAATTTGAAAATAGGTTGTTATCTGCAGCTGTACATTCTAACAAGCCAAAATTTGATGCATAGCACAGAAAATGTATAATGGCTGTGCTTCTTGCTGAAGTGAAAAATAGTGAGGAAGCTGGTATGTTCATCAGCTTTTTTCTAGTAGTTCTATGCATTAAATGTTAGGAGCGAGAAGATTAAGGATTAATGAATATTTGTATTAGAATTAGGCTTCTTTTAAGGAATAGAATATTTCATGGAGGTGATAAATACCACATTTACTTGTTTTGTGCTTAAGAACTGTATAATCAAAGAACTGTGGTGTATGCTTACTGACCCGTGGCAAAAACAGGACAGACTTACAGGAATAAAACTTGGAATAGTGTGTTTGTGTATATGTCTGAATAATTTTTACCTTGCTTTTTACATAATTCTTTACATATTTGTGTGTGTTAAATTTATGTGTAGGAAACTAACACAAACTTTCTCAAGTTAAGTAGGCTTTCACTTCAAATTAGAAACATAATAAACTGCAGAGATTGGCTTGGTTTTGTATGCTATTGTCTTTTAGATGTTCAATTACATGAAAATCAGGAAGCACTGATAAAAATTAGCCTAGGTTTTGAAAATCTGATAAATGCAGAGTTAATTTTGAACAAGTTTGTCAGTACTCATATGGGAAGAGTAGTTCAACAAAACAGAAATTGTGTTTAGTAATTCAGATGCAGTGAACTTTGTGGAGTACAAAGTTGCAGGAAAGGTTGTTTCCTTTTATGAAACTATGAACAGTAACATTGCCAGTTTTCATTAAGTCTCATTGTTTATCCACCAGTACACCTGGAAGATAAGGTGGCTTTATCTTCATCATGTTGGAGAATTTAGATCTCCATCCTCTTAAGTACTGGGACTATATGCTTACTTTCACATAGACTTCGGGAATTTCATTGTAAGTGAAGTATCAAGCACAGAAATTTTACGTCATCAGACCCTTACTGATAAGCAGAAGTATTAATATTTTTTTTTTTCAATAGTGATATGAAATCCAGTGTTGTCTTGATTCAGGTGTTGGTGCTGCTCGAGCTGGAAACCTTACTTTCATGGTGGGTGGAGCGGAGCAGGAATTTAATGCTGCCAAAGAGTTGCTGACGTGCATGGGTTCTAATGTGGTTTACTGTGGAGAGGTTGGAACTGGACAGGTGAGTCTTCCTGGGGGGTTACTAGTTATCTCAGTCTTTTATTTTTGTTGCTTTGTTTTTATGTAATGATATCTACTCTTTTATTCCAGAACTAAAAGCTGGATCACATATCGTTTCACTTGTTTGCTTGTTGTCTTGTCTCCAGCCATGTGTGTAGAAAATAACCTCATAGCACTCTGCTCCAGGGTGTTGTATAGCTTAGGACCAAAATGTTTGACATGATGCTTCCCCACATTGGCTTGCTAAGACTGTATTTCTTAGAGGACACAGATTTTTGTTTTGCTTCTTCTACCTTTAGGTTTACAGAATGTTCTGAAGGAAAAACTGTCTGTACATGACATGTATACTAGCTGAGCTACTGTACTAAGAGAAAAAGTTTTTCCTAATCTCTGAAGCAACCATAGCACAGCTGTCATTGACTTACTATTGTAGATCTGTGCTCACTGGTGCTACCTTTAGAAGAGACCTGTCAGAACATATTTGATCATACTGTTCAGACCTAGTTAAAGAAGATTACTACACATTAGGCCTATGAAAATGCAGAAGCTAATTCATGGTTCAACTTACTTTCAGGCTGCAAAGATCTGCAACAATATGCTTTTGGGGATCAGTATGATTGGAACTGCTGAGGCGATGAATCTTGGAATCAGGTTAGTTTGATTTTTTTTTTATTGGATTGCTGCATTTTTTCTGTGTAATCAGTTTTTGTGTTTTACAGTTGACTTTCACTGAGGTGGTGATTACATGGTGTAGATAAACTTTTGCCAGAAATTCTCTTGTAAAGCCATTAACTTGCTAAAGGAATTATCTAACTAAAGTAGGGCTTTTTCAGAACAGGAATATTCTCTTGTATTGGCTGTACAGATTGTTGCATTCTGCATTTAAAGTCAAGTTTGTTTTTCTGCTGTAGTGCAATGCACAACATTGTAGTACAATGTTTGTCTGGCATTGTAAACATCGAAAGGTAATACAATCTGTGTATTCTAAGCTAGTGACTCAGTGTATTCAGAGTACCATGCTCCCATATAGCTCTTGTTGGCTTCCTTTACTTAGTTAAATTGTTGCAAAACATATTGTAAAGTGAAACTTCTAGTACAGTGTGCATATCAAATTAAGATCAAAGCATAAAAAAGAACATATGCCTTTATGTTTGACTTTACCACTTCAGTTTGTCCTAACTGCCAAAACTCCTCCTTTGTCACAAAGCTGGAGTATGCTCCCTATGATTCTTGTCAATGTTAAGAGTACCCTTTCTTTTCTAACAGGTGATGCATCTGACTTGTAAGTGGCAGCAGATTTGAACAAAATAGTTTTTATCTTTCTGATTGTAACCTATTTATTTGGCTGTGGTCTTTGAGATTTTGGGTTGTATTCTAATAGATTGTATGGAAGTACCAATTCGGTATCACAGTATTTCAGTCTTAAATTTTCTTAGCCAAATCTAAATAATTTGTAAGTTTAAACACAGAGAAGTCCTAGGTTCGAAGATATTATCTTACAATTGTGTATCTTTTAAGGGCTCTTCATGAATTATTTATCTGCATAGCTGCATTTTTAAAACTGCCCTGCTAGAACTACAGATATTGTAGATACTCCTCAACTGGGCTTTAGACTGTGCACTCATGGGGATTTGATATATTATAAAAACAGCAAGAGGGCATCAAATGCTTAAATAAATAAAAAAGAACACCTATATGTGCGCACATACACAAGGCAACGTAATGGATTCACATTTCCTCTTAATTACCATATCAAGATGCAGTTGTTTTATTGAATTGCCCTTGTCTCAGATGTTAGACTATCTTGACCTATTAAGTTGTCATGTTGTAATTGAGATAAAAGAGGAATTTGCTTTGCATCAGTGCTAATTGGTTTATCAATATCCTGTACCATTTACATTTTAAAATTGAGAGTCTGCAAGATACTGAAGCATGTCTGCATCAAGGCATAATAAAACAGTAGCATTGTATACAACTATTGTAATCCAGTGTAGTGTAAAGCTTTCATCAGGTTCTGTTTTAAGTCATGGTTCACTTAATAAAGCATATGCAACTGATTTTTTCATTATATTTTTATCTACATTTGTAAGAATGATTAGAGTTAAAATTGAAGATAAAATAAAATCAGGAGGTTTGGAAGACATATATTCTGGCCATGTGAGCCTTGTGCAGAATGATTTGATGTCTGCAGTCACTGTAGCTTGAAGGTCTTTGGAATTTTCATTTTTCATTTGAACCTTTCCCAGTTTATATTCTGGCTGAACTTGCATTTAGCATTTGTAAGCAAAATTCCAGTGTGAAAGTGGCAAGATACAAACCTCCCTACCCTACAATCTCTCAGTACCCTACAGTTTCTCAGTGATGTCCAGTGATAGGACAAGGGGTAATGGGTGCAAATTGGAGCATAGGAGGTTCAAGGTGAATATCTGAAAAAGTTTTTTTACTGTGAGAGTGACAGAGCACTGGAACAGGCTGCCCAGGGAGGTTGTGGAGTCGCCTTCACTGGAGACATTCAAAACCCACCTGGATGCGTTCCTGTGTGATGTACTCTAGGTGACCCTGCTCTGGCAGGGGGAGTTGGACTAGATGATCTTTCGAGTTCCCTTCTAACCCCTAAGATTCTATGATTCTACAATCGCCTTAATCCCGAAAGAGCTGTATTTGTTGTAGAAGATACATGCTGATCGTAACCTGAATTCTACAAAGAGCAGAATATTGTTTAGTCCAAAACTACATGAGGTTTAAGACACGGGCAGTAATTTAGAGCCCTATGAAGGAATTTAGAACCTTTGCATTGATTTTAATGTGTTGTTTAAATCATGGAAAGATTACTTTGCATATAACTAGAAAAAGAGCTTTCCATTTTTGGTGTGTACAAATTTCTAATGTACAAGTTAACAGTTGTAATTTTAGTTATTATAAGTTTTAGTATATTAATAAATGTATTAGGGTGGGCGTTTTTTTTCAAATCTAAAACTCATATTATAGGGTGGCTGCCTAGTCTAGAGAGTGTAGGAAGCTGAAATTGATATACTAGGTTGCTGCATATCTGGTAAAGAAAGTCTGACTCTGATTTAATATTTGTAAAGGACACTGGAAATCTGAAGAATTCATAATAGCATTGTGAAGCTTAGACATGTTCTTAACTTTCAGATAGATGATAAAATATCTTCATGTCATACATTGTGCATATTTGCTACACCATTTAAATCTTGAGTTTTAGGCATTTTGGATAATTAATTATTGAAAATCTTGCTCACTGAACTAGACTAACTAGAAAGCCATATTACAGCAACTGCAAGAAACTAGTATCTACTCCGAGCTTAAGGCTTTAGAACAGTGTGATATTAATTCTATTAATAAACCACTTCTTCCCTAAGGTTTTCATGAACTGTGCAACCTAAATTTTCATCTTCTGAAGCAGAGAGTTACTGTTTAATTTCATTTTTTTAAATGACATCTGCTTCTGTTTTGTTTACTTTATATTTGAAGTCAAAATTTTTCCTAACTTCAGCATAAGTGGCAAATAGAATGTGGTGAGTAGGAAGGAAAACTGATATTAATGAGCAAAAATTCCACAATAAACTCCCAGAAAAATACACAATATTGCTATGTGATTTCTGCGTTTATATTCCACTTGCTTTTCTACTTTAACATCATATTCATTTACTAATCTGCTAATGAAGATGTCCGTTTTCTCTGGAAGTGATTTGGTTTAGATTCCATAACTCATTTTAAAAAATAAATAAATCCTGAGTTCTGACTACTTAGATGCGTGTTTTGGTTTGTTTTTTCCATTAATTTCCTGATGATTTATGAATGTTGGTACTGAAAGCGAGAAGGTGTGGCAGACATTTTGGAAATTACTTCACATTTTCATTTGTATTTTCTTTTTCTAGCATGATAGTGCAACTTGTAGATAGAAAAATCTTTAGTAGATCCTGCTGTATGATTTCATGGATGATGTGTATATTGCAAAATGCTGTAGTGACTTACTGTGTCAAATCAACACATAGGGTACATGTAAACTTCACCAATCAAAAATAAAAACATTAAGTGATACTGTCCACAGCCAGAGACTATTTCTCTTTTTTTTTGCTGATCATCTCAGTGCCAGTAGCTTACTTTTACTGAGCTCTGAGTTCCAGTGTAACAATGTCTAATAGTAGCAAAATAAAACTCAGAAATGAAGTATTGTTTGTGCCTGGTTTGTGTTTAGGTCAGATGGCAGTTGCTGCCTGAGTTCCTTTCAGAACCTGCCTGCAGCCTCCAGGAAGAGCTTACGTGGTAACACAAGATAGGACAAGACTGCATCATATTGTTGCGATGCAAGAGATCAGGAGAGCACAAAGGGCTCTATGGCAATAGCCTCATCACTGCAAGATCACCTTTTTGCTTCCAGTAACTAAGAAAGTAATCTGTACAAGGAGGCACTCTGGTGGCACCCAGATTTAAGTCAAAAGCTGCAAACATCTCTTCCCTAAGTAATTTTACTGTATATGGATTTGTGCTTGCTTGCTTTTTTACATATATAACATGGAAAGACAGTAAAACAACTTTACCCTCTGATGCCAAGTCTAAACATAGTTTCAGTTTCTAGATCTAGTTTCTGTGAGCACCCCTGGGCTGCAGATAGAAGATGTGAGCAGAAAGGGGAGTTAATAGCATAAAGAGTGTGTGCTGCAGGCTGAGGGAGAATTAACCCTGGGCAAACCCCCACTGCAAATTTTAGAAAGATTGCCTTGAAAATGAATTCTTCCAAGAGCGTTGTGGCTCTGCTGCCTTTAGCATGGGGCTATAGCTAAGTCTTGTGAATGTTAGTAGTGACTCTTAAAACACTTTCCTTGTTCAAAACATGAATAGCAAAGTGAATTTTATCTGTGGTAGAGGGTCTTAAAGTTTTGCTTTAATATTTGTAACTTTATATGGTATTTATCCAAAGCATCTTGAGATGGAAAACTCCCAACTATGCAGCTACTTCAGTTGTTACACCTTAAAATGAGGCCAGGATGTATCTTTTTTGTTAGATGCCGTTTCAATTTTTCTGTCTGTTCCAGCCTGAACTCTTGGACGAATGTGTGAAAATTTCAGTACGTTCTTTTATCAAAGCTCAGCAAAACTTGAGTTTTGAGCAGTGGCTCAAAAGGATCCCATTTTAACTATTTTTTTCCATTGCTGAGTTTCGGCTGTTCAGTTCATTAGGAATGTTATTGAAGAAGCATTGATTCGAGGGAAGCAATTGGTTTTGCTCTGTTATAAATGCAGTTAATACATGGACTCCTTTTCTGCTTATAAGGGAGAAGAACATTTTGGTAATTGTAAATTCAGACGCACATACACAAGCTCTTGCCACATCCAATGGCGAGTTGTTATGGGGACTGGCAGACTGTCATCATTTTGATAGCTTGAGCAGTATATCTCTTCAACAGCACTGGAGCTCTTATGCAGAGAGTATCATATGTTCCCAGCCAATTTACAGGGAAACAGCAATAACATTTTATCATGGTTGAGAGCCCAGTAGCTGCTTCCTATTAAACTTGCCCTTTCAGATACCTGTCTTGGATTAATTTGTTGATTTCAAATGGAAACTCAGTCTTCTCCACTGAAGCATGACTTTCTAGGATAGACTCTTGCTGAATGACAATTACTGTATATTCTAGCTGCTTTCAGACCATTACAAGCTTTGGGCACAGTGGAAGACAGAGGACTTCTTCAGTAACTGATTTTAATATATGTCTAATTTTAACTGTCAGTTATATATGCACCAGTGGATGAATCCTCAGAAAGATGAAATGCAAAGCATTTCTAACTTGCTCTTATTAATGATACACTTGCTGCAATGGAAGGAGAAAAAAAAAAAAAAGGTTGAGGTCTCCTTCCTGAAGAGAATTGTTTAAGAGCAACGAAGTTTGAAGAAGCAGGGATTTAAACTGATGTTATCTTCCTTTTTCTTTTCTTGGAGCACAAATGTGCCAGGTCTAGTGCAGACAATATTTTACATGTGTGTGTAGTACACATACATCTTTTAAAGTATGCTTTCACATAGAGGTAGTTGAAGCACTGTAAGAACACTGTTTTTCAGGAGGGTTATATGCATTTTGAAATAATAAGCTCCCCGTCTTGCAGCACATTCACAGCTATAATTACAGGCCTCTGCAGGCAGCTAGATGTGGCACAAGCAAGGCACTGCATTGCTAAAAAGACTGATCTGGATGTCACAATGATAAGGACACAAACAAGGCATGAGATTTGTTTTGGCCAAAAAAGCTAACTCTGTGTTTGAAAGCTCAGGCAGTGTCTGCTCCAAATGCAGGTTTTTTTATCATAACAACAATTAAAGCAGTTATTCAGAGTGGTTCCTGATGAGGACTTTGATGTCTGTGGAAGATAAAAGTACAGTTAAAATACTGTGAAAACATATTGATGCTGGAAAATGCTTCCTTTTTTTCTAGATAAATAGCTGTTGGCATTCATTTGAGTCAGAGTTGGGAAAAAATGAGCAGAATAAATCCTGATCCCACTTGGGCCAGCAAGAGGCTTTCCATTGAATTCCAGGTTCATTGCATCAAGTTACAGCAATAATGATAAAAAGCTACCCTTGTGCTACAGAAAGTGATCTTGCTTTACATTAGGAGGGCAGAATTGTAGGAGACAGGCCATTATGGGAACAGGGTCCGTGCTGTATAGCCCACTGTCTTAAAGGTAGTTTTTCAAATCCAAAATGCTTTTTGGAATAAATAGACATACTTTTAGCAACAATTCCACTGATGATGAGCTTTTCTCATTTACAAATTAGTTGAGTGTTAAGAGTGCCTGAAGTGGTGTTAGGATCAATGTGGCTGCGGAGATCTGCGAAAAGTCTGTGGAGTAAGATCAAATGTAAAGAGTGCTGACTTCTATAAGAAAATTATTGAAAGTCCTTTAAAATGTCCTTTCTCATCTTGGATTGTTGCTGGAGATAATTCCCTTGCTTTCTTTTTTGTCATGAGCATAACTGAACATTTGTACAGGGCCAGATAAACTGCTGCTCCTGGTCGTCGTTGATATAAATGCAATTGGTGTAAAATTACACTTGCAACTTAGAATCAGTGTAAATGTGAATTCTTAAGAGGATTAATTTTCTGTAATATTGAAAAACTTCCAGGGTCTACATTGAGCAGCACTTCAGGTGATCAGCTCTGTGACACAAGTGCTGTTTCTACTTGGACAAGCTTTGCTTTATCAGGATCAGCAACCTTACCAACAGTTCACCCAGAACTGTAATATTTGTTTGAAAAATGTCCCAGTGAGATGCAGACTTGCTTCACAAGCAGCAGTGTATAATGTAGATTTCATAATAACAAAGCAAAGGACAATGTATACAACAGTGATAATTTTTGAGAATTGTAGGGGTTTTATTCACATTATTAGATCAGGATTATTTGCATTATCTTTCTTACATGAAAAATGCACTAGAATTCACGTATAAGCACATCATACAAGTACTGCTGCCACACTTGCTTTTGAATTTTTTGCTTTGTTCAGCTTTAGATAATATAATTTTGATATGAAGAACAAGTATGTGACATAGTAGGCAGCAGAACAGAGAATGCCTTTTATTAACTGAAATATGAAGGAACTATGGTCCTCGAAGGGCCTTTATTTTGCTTGCACTTTCAAAATTGCTAGGTGAAGGGAATTTCCTTAGTGCAAAAGGAAAAAAGCTCTGAAGACCTGCTGCTTAAAAGGTGGTGCTCTTTAATTTAAGATACAGCATTCCTACCCCCAATATCAATACTCTGTCATTTTTCATGACTTATAATAAAGGGAGAGAAATTACGGTAGGGTCCTAAGATATAAAGCAAGTCACCCATGTCTTGTGCGTTTTGACATTAACACTTCTCTTCCTTGACCTTTGACAGATTAGGCCTTGACCCAAAGCTGCTGGCCAAAATCCTAAATATGAGCTCAGGTCGCTGTTGGTCAAGCGACACGTACAACCCTGTTCCTGGAGTGATGGAAGGAGTACCATCTGCTAATAATTATCAAGGTGGCTTTGGAACAACGCTCATGGCTAAGGTACCACTTGCATGTAAAGTATGTACAGCTGTTTCTCTTTGGGCATCTAGCAAGCATTCTTCTCAGTGAAAATTTATTATTACAAGGAAGTATGTGTGCATGAACAGAGGGGAACACAACCTCTTACTGAATTAATGAGCTGTGTAGAGGGCTTTTCCTTAGCCTCCAGCCTCTTCCTAGCCACTATTACTGCTGAGCCACTCAATGAGATTATATGCACTGTCTTTTTTAATTCTGCCTTAATCCACAAGTCCTGATTGACCTGTATGTATGCCATGCGTTCAGCAAGGCATTTAGGTGCTTATTGCATGACTGCTGTAGAATTTAGGAGCCTAAGCTCAAGAGAGCAATTCCAGGAAATCCAGGTGACCTAATTAGATGCAAATAGTGGCATAAGTGTATCAGATTTTGGGCTCAGTGTCTTCCAGATACCTTAAACTGTGCTCCTGGACATGCTCTCTAGCATCCTCTTCCTTGCTAAGCCAACTTCTTATGTGCTTGTCTTTCTGCCTAAGGCCCTTTGGAATGCAGAAAACAGGTTTCAGCCCCACAGACTGATTTTCTGCAGGTATCTGTCAGCTTTACTGAATTGTCTTTCCAGGTGACAGAGGTAGTGTTGCTTATGAGTAATAGCATAGTAATCTAAATTACTTGTCCAGCAAGTGGGAGATCTGGGTTTTAGGTCCTTCTCAGTATGAGGAAGTTGTAACCTACATCTGTTCCATCCCAGGAGAGCAGGAGAGTGTACTTATTGCCTTGCTCTTGGCTGTTCTAGGAAAAGTACTGTCCTAAGTCACTTTGTGGTCAGGAAAGCAAATCTCTTAGAGGCTAGAGGAAAGTAGGCAAGGAGGTCAGGGCTCTGCATTCCACTGATGAGGACATACAGTTGGAGGAAGGAGCTACAGAACTCTGACTCTTGAACTACTTCTGCATTTAGCTAAATGATTGCCTAAGCTAAATTGTAAAAGCGACCCTGAAAGAAATATCTCTTCTAAGCATCTAAGTGCAAGGAACAATTTCACACTGAAAATTAGTTTCATGGGGATACTATCCTGAGGGAGGCATTTGAGATTGTATCAGCCAGGTTTTTGGCATACCAAGTTATGAGTGCTCCCAACTGGTTGTGGATTCTGGCCATTTACAGCTCTTCCGTGTACAGTGGAAATAAAGCAGTTAAAACTAAAACAACATTCTCAGAGCTGGTGATCGAACTCAGAGAACTGTCATGCAAATCTCCACGCTGCTGGAGATCCTGTGCATAGTATCTGCCTACTGATACTGTTCCTGTCATTTTGCAGTTGATTTATGGCAACCAGTGCATTTGCCCAGTCAATGGAATTCTGTCCAGAGTGGATCTAGAGTGCTTGGCATGTGATAACAACAAAAAAACGTTGCTAATACTGCATGGCTCAAAACCCCTCAATGGTTGATCTGCCACATTTTACATTTGTGGACCAACAACCAGGAGCTGCTATTTCTTTGAGGGATGCATTAAAATATTATAAAGCATCAGTTTTTACGTTGTGTTCACGTCACTGAATATAGGGAACAATTAAGTGTTATTTAAATTATTTATTTATAAAATGTGTTAGGTTATTGTTTGGAGTCTGCCAGGGCTATTGATCTGAGAAAATTAACGTGATCTTGGGCTTGCCTCAAAGCTAATCATGGGTGCTGTTTTCATAACCTGTTCTGCCTGTTTTGCCCTGTTTCACACTGCAGTCTCTGTTCTCATAAGCCATAATTCTTACTCTTGTCTAGAATAACTTCATGGTATAAATGTGATGAGGGCACATCTTTCCTTCCCTCACTCTTAAATTTCTTTGTAAAGTGTGTTTTTCTTTTTGTCTGCTTCTAAGAGGGACTTTAATCTCCTCTGGAAACTGCCTTGAAAGATCCTTTCGGTGGAAAAAGAGCAGCCTGGCATATGCCTGTTGAACTGCCAACTTTTGGGTAAAAAGCATCAGTGATAACTAAGAGAAGAGTTCTTCAGAGAGGTTTGTAATTGCTGTTCACCTCTTCAGACTGTGCCTCTCCTGCCAATCCTGAAGAGTGCCTTCTTTAGGCTGGAATCCTCAGTAAGAAGGAAAGAGACTAAATTCTTCTCATGCCTCTCGAGCAATGCCATGTTATTTTATACAGACAGAAGGTTACTGGAATGAGTAAATAGCCAAGACAATTAATTAGGTTCAGGGTATTATTTGCTGCAGCAGTGGCCTCTTTTAAGACACTGCTCCTTAGTTTGTGGAAAGACTTTTCCTGCTGTCTGCTTCATCTGGTATGTGACATATCATGTAGTTTGTGAATTGTTTTAGTTGGGAATTTTTTTTCTGGGGAATACAATGCCATTAAGAGAAAAGAAAAGCTGTATTCAAAGGAGAAAAAGGTAGGTACAACCCTGAGGCTGAGAAGAAAATAGTCCACAATGAGAATATCTAAAAGTGACTCAGGAATGCAGTCACTAAACACAGTTACTAAACTTCAAGATACTCCTCACAAATCAGATATGGTAGAAGTCAAAGTCTTCCTTAAAAATATTTTGTTAGCAATGGATCTCTCAAACAAATCCACAGTAACATTATTTTAGATGTTTGGGAGAGAGAAGCTTGCCAGACACCTCTGAAAAGTTCTTCAGTCTTGAAATCTGATATTGAAACATAGAATTTAGTCAACTTAATGTGAAACCTGCTTTAGAGATTTTGCATTTTTAAAATCTAGTTTACTTCCCCTCACCATCTTTGTGCCCAAAGCATTGCAGACCAGAAATTCTGTCTTTCATTCACAGCACAGTTGCTAATTAAATGTCATCTTTGAAGCCTGAGAAGAGCTAGATTTACATAATACTGTTCTTGACTCATATCAAGACAGCCTTGCGCTTATTCAGAGTGGCAGTTTCATTTACATCAATTGCAAAATACATGTAAGGAACCAGGTATTTCCAAAGTGAGCACTGGAAAGATTCTGAAAGAAAATCTGTTTTCCCTATTCCAACCTGAGTTGGTACAGGAGACATCTGGAATATGTTCTCTGTTCCAAAAGAGTATGAGAGGAGCTGTAAACTATGTTCTGATTTTTACTTTTCCAAAAAGGTCAGCAAAGTGCAAATTTCTTTCAGAGCTGTTTTGTACTATTTCACTTGAGGCATCTCCAGCCTCAAGAGAAAAGGTACAAAACAAATAATAAACTGATGCTAAAGGCAAGCTTTACTTACATTTTGTTGGGGTTTTTTTCCTTCAAAGCTCTAATTCAAGCTTTCTGCACTTTGGAGCTGGGAGTCCTTTGTCCATTTAATTATTGAGATATTGTCTGATGATTCAATCATCTTGGAGCCAGAATTTCATTATTAAGGTGAACAGTCCTGCTTTATGAAATTGTATTTGTGCTAGTGGTCTATTCAAAACTTTCAGGGATTGCTTCTGTGAATGCCACTTGAGAGAGAAATAGGTCATGATCACCACTATCAAACCCAAGCACCTCCACTAGTTTGGCATTAGACAATTTAGCCATTCTATTATTCCATGACATGATTTTAAGCTTGTATCCATAAAATGGCAACAGGTTTCACAAAGAGAGTTTAGAAGAGACTAGAAATATGTCATGGAATATCTTATTGTAAATTAGGTTAAAGTAACCGTTCATAGATTTGTCAGGTCATCAGTCTTTCAACAGAATTGCTAGACAGGAATGAATGAATTTCCGTGGTGCAGATGAAGAGTATTTTGGATCCTGTGACATCTAATGTATATGTTTTTTCCCATTTTCCTGTATCTTGAAGTCATTCAAAGGTAATAAGAAGAGTAACTATAATTCTGATTTGTATCAGAATGACCTTTATAGAGCCGATTTACAGATCAAAGTGACATTTAGAGAGTAGAGTAAGATCTTGAATTTCCTTGTGCTAATTCCAATCCAGACACACAGAAAGTAAAGACCTGTCTTGTAAGTCATCTCTGAGAAGCCAAAGGTGCTCTCAGCAATACTACAGTCTCTCAGTTCTTCTGTATCAAAGATGTGTTATTTTGAAAAGAATAAAACCACAGCAATTTCTATAAACCACTGTAGTCCTGGATGGACAGAAAATCCAGGCAATTCCTACTAGCACTTGTGAGGTTCTTTTGCAGCTTTCTTAAAATGTGGACCACAAAATTGACTTCTCTAGCAAGACCTTATCAAAGCAACCTTGAGTGAAAGTACTACTTTCATACTTAGTCTAATAAATCTGTTTATATATCCAGGTCCTTGTTAGCTTTTCCTTCTTTGTTTGGTTTCATGTCTGATTCAGCTTAGAATTCAAGACATCCTCCAGCCTTGTTTGTCATTTCTGTCCAGCTTGTGTGCAGCTGACTATTTCTAGCTCACTACAGTTAGTTATAGTAGCTGGTACTTGTCCTTGAGTTTTGTTTCCTATTTATTTCTGATTATAGTTGCAGTTGACCAAGGACTCTTGGAGGACAGGTTTCAAATTCATCCTTTTTGCCACCTCCTCTTCTGTTTTTTTTCTCAAATTTAGTTATTTAAAAATGCAGTAGAACTATTCTCTCTATCCCTTCAGTCATTACAGGAAACTTTGAGTTGTAGCTGACCCAGGACAGTCCCCTAAAGAATTCTTTAATACATCCTTTCAGTTATATTGCAAACCATTTGTATGCAGAAAGTGGCCTCTTCCTCTCATTTTACTATTAACTAGCCACAATTTTGTTGTTATTCAAATCCCTCCTGCTTGATTTTTAACCTGCTTTTAGAAAGAAAGATGTCCTTTTGCTCAAACAAGAAAATGATGCCATTAGAACCTATATGAAATGCTTAAGTGAATAGCCAGGGGAGTTTTATTTTTGAAGATAATATAACAACATGAGGAAAGAGTCTTAGTCTTGCTACCAGGATATATAGTGATCTTGAATCTTAAAATTCCTCCTGTCTGGAAGGAGGTTGCATGCTTTGCAGAGTTTGGAGTTTTTCTGTTGAATAACACTGATTTACTGTTTTAAAGATGAAAAACTAAACAAGGCTCCTTTCTTCCAGGACTGAAAGTTTAAGGCTGGAGTATTGTGTTTGTTGGCAGTAGAGTTCTCTTCACAATGGAAGCCAAAGAACCTATAATATGTACAAGGCTATTTATATCCTAGTTGTTTCTCCCCTGACTTCTCCTTTTCTTTTCTTCCATTCTTCCTCTCTGCCCTCCTCCCTCTTCTCTCTCCCCACAGGATCTTGGCTTGGCCCAGATTTCTGCCACCAACACAAAGACACCAGTTCCTTTGGGATCCCAAGCACATCAGATCTACAGGATGATGTGTGCAAAAGGCTATGCCCTGAAAGACTTCTCAGCTGTGTTCCAGTTTTTACGCGAAGAGGAAAACTTGTGAGCTGTCCTTTGGAAATGGACACAATAACAAACCACTTTTTTTTTTTATCCTTATAGCTCGTTTGAGAAGTACGTTGGTTTAATCAAACACTGTGCATCCTGATCCCATACAGGCTAATCATCTTTGGTTGTCTAGATCACCGGGGGTTTTGATAGTTCTGAAAAAAGCAAGGCAGAGGAGGGACTGTTTGGCAATTAGCCAGACAGTGATTTCTTTCTTTTTTTTTTCTAAGAACCGTCAAAGTGTTTTTTTTTCCTCTAGATGCAATAAATAAATATGTTTTTTATGAAACACTTTACTGTTTGCATATAAATGGCTACAAACTTAGGTGACTCTTGAATAATAAGAGAATATTATATAGTGATTTTATGATATGTAGTCATCTATTAAATTTAAAATTAATACTTCATGGAAAAAAGGGAAGATTTGTTCAATAAAGAGGCACAGCTTGAAATGGACTGGTTTATTTTGTTGGACCTACTAGCCTTGAGTTTATCAGTAGGGAATTTTTCCTGGGATTCAGGTTGCAGATTAAGTTTATAGGCACAGGTTTCTAAGTGGAGAGCTGTTACAGCATGTTTACCTGATAGACTTAGTTAAAATAACATATAATATGTGTCCCTCTTGTAAATCTCTGTTATTGTATTTTGCTGGCCCAATTTTATATTTTCTTGTATTCTGTCACATTTTCAGACCTCAAGAACAGCACTTATCAGAAGTTCTAACAAAGTGTACATTTGTTTTAGTTATTTACTGAAGTATTTTAAATCTAAACAAACTCCATTATTTTGAAGATAAATAAAAATCTATACTGGTAAATACTTGCTGTATGATTATTTGCTTTTTGTTTTGATGCACTCTTGCACACACATAATTAACCAAAAACCTGTACTAAGTGGTCTTATTTTTCATTTTCCTTAGTTTTCTACAGATTGCCTTGCAAAACCAAGCTTTTCAAGAGCTCTTGTGAAATGCAGATGGTAATAAAATTGCTTATGTGCTACCTTAACTGTTAACCATCTCCTTGGTCTTGCAGAAGCACAGGTACACACTTGACTTTATGATTGTAAAAATGCATGTTTATTTCCCTAGAACTACTTACATTCAGATTTACTTGCAGGCTTTAGGCTTAATAGTCAATTATACATTTACATTCCTATTTTAGTTGGACAACAGATCCTTCTATATATATCTATATGCACACCTGGATAACAAAATTATGTGTTTGAATTAGCGCAAGTCTCTGAATAACCTTCTGAGAACTTGGACATTCTATTGTAACACATGAGTAGCATCATACAAAAGTCATTAAACAGTCCTGGTTGATCTGTCCTCCTTTCATTTTTCTGTGAAAATTGTTTTACATTCTAGGTTATTCAGGGATTTGGGGCTCATTAATGTTATCTATGAGTGTAAGATTACTAAAAGCAAACTTACTTTTAAAAAGATTGTTTATGTTTTGATAAAACAGGATTGCATTCATTCAGAAATTAGACACAAAACTATATGCAGCAAAAGTTTAGAATTGCAGAGTCAACTACTCGGTGCTGGAACATGCAGAAACATGGAGTCATAGTTGCAGATGTGTGGTTTGACCTTTGATAAGATCACATACTTCAACATTTTTTTCCTATAGCACTCCTGCCTCACATAGGATAAAGGATGGATCTACTCTCATAATGAATTTGGGGTCAAGTAGTGAAAGATGGTTTTGCCAGCAGAATACTTGTTCATTTGGAAGCTTCATAGTAGATCAGGAATTGTAGGAGAGTCCTAGTTAAGCTTGTCTCCTCTGTATTTGACTTACAAATCTGGCTAACATCAGCCAGACTGCTGAGAGATGCTTCCTTCTACTGTCCACCCCAGCCTGTAGCAGCGTTTGCTATGAATGTTTTTGGCAGTACCCTGGATGTGCCGCTAGCCCTGGGCTTGCAGGAAGCATCATCATTTGTTCTCTGAAGACATTATATACACACATAAACGTTGGGAGCCATGAGGGAAGAGAATACGCTCAGTGAGACACACTCTTTGAAGCTTTCAGCTTCTGAAATCATAAAGTCTCTGTTAAGCATGTGGAAACTTCGTTGTTATTTTTATGTTTCTCCCAAAAGCTTGCAGCTTCAGCTTCCTGGGGTTTGGTTCTCCTCCCCCACAACCTCTGATCAAATTTTAAATTCCTACTCCAAAGCATAGGGTGTTCAAGTTGGAATAAAGACTGCCAGAATGCTGTTTTGGCAAGCCAACAAAATGTTCTGTGGTCTCCTTCTTGGAGGAGAATTTTGGCTGAAATTAAAAACAAAACAACAAAAAACCCAAAAAACTCAGCTCCAGGGCAGACAGCCAGCATGTAAAATTTTAGAACAAGCAGTTAGTTTGGCAAAGTTAGAAACAACTTTTAAAATAAGTCTTATTATGGAAAGTGCCTTGAAACCTTTAATGATGTCCAGTACCTGAAGCCCATAATACAATTTATATTAAACTACACTTTTTCCCCCAATTCTACAGGGGAATACTGTATGACTGGATAAATGCAACATGGTGGTATTCATACTAGCTCTGGCTGTTTTGCACAGGTACATATTGTATCTTTTGCTTTGCACGAGTTATTCTTCTGGCCTATGGAAATTAAGAAAGGACTGAAACTGTTGTGAGTGCCAGAAACAGGTGTTGAAAACTATAGTTTGTTGCGTTGAATAGAAAGATTGTAAAATTGGTTGCATTTCTATACTAATTACCTCCTAGTACATGCACACGAGGTAGGTGCAACAAATTAACTGCATATTTTGTAAATGTCCTAAAGAGAAACTTGAGGTAACTTCTTTTAAAATTAGGTTTAATGTTAAAATAGCCCTCCCATCACGCTGACTTTGGAAACTCACCCATATCAAATGCATTTATTGACTAACAGGAAAACATTGACAACCAATAAAAGTAGTGATGGTTTTAAAGAAAAAACAACACAAACCTAAGCAGCCTTCTCTCATTTATGATTCAGTATAACCTGTCTCAAGCAACTATTTTTGGAGGTCGTTTAACAGAGGAGGCCTTCTATAAAAACTGCTGAGTACTATATTGCTTTAACTTTATTTATGGCTCTTACAGGCCTCAGGAGGAAGAGGAGGTATTCTGACCAAGTAAAAGTATTACACGTGGTATTCTGGCTCTGCTTTAACCAGTGGGATTTTTGCCATTAAGTACAATGCTGCCAAGATTTCACAGTGTGTTCAATGCTCATGTGATTCCAGTGCAGATGTGGCCAAGATGCAGCTCTGTAGGAGCTCAAGCACATCTCTCAGGCAAGGACTGTGCCACATTACTGGCATCAGGATTATGAAAACTTGGGCTGGTGACTGTGAGGGGACGGAGCCAGCAGGAGCTGCTGAAGTTGATATTACCAGTCTTTATCCAGCTTTGTCCCACAGTGGGTGAGAGAGGTGCTGAGGGGGACAGAACAGCTGCTCTGCCTTCCTGCCTGAGGGCAGCTACCCGTCTTTTAGGCTGTTCAAATCTTACACTTCTTTGATACAAGAAGATGTATTGAATAGTTCGTGGAACGGAAAGACTGGGACCACACCTGGAGCAAGGAGAAGGGCTACCATCACACAAGGACTACTGTATTTATGCTTTTAGTCCACTAGCAAGACCAAAGCTACCCAGGAACAACTCCGAGGGTACTAACTTCATTGATAGTGATACCTGTTGGTTTTGATTTGTCTTGAAATCATCATTGTTGTCCTCTTCCCTTCATATAAAAATAGATGCAATTCAACTTTTCTCAAGAGCAGTTGAGAATATTGCCTGGTTTTACAAGGCTTCCTATTAAGTTGTGGAATTTTTTATGCAGTTTAGAATCCTCTGTTGTGTTTTCTTGGTGCACAACATGTAGAGCTAGGGTCCTCTGTGGTGTTTTAGATTTAAAGGTTGATAAGACCCCCTTAAAGTTAGGGGACTTTAAAATGGAAAGCCTTTTTATTGACCTCAGTAGCCAGTTCTTAGAGTTCAATAGGTGTATGACATGGAACTAGGCATCCATATGGCAGTGAGGTGTTTTTTGGTTTTGGCATTCATCATGGGTTGTGAGCACTTGTAGTAAAATAAAACAGGTGGATAAACCTTTCTGAAGTATTACATGTGGAAGTATAACTACTCATAATAACTACTGTATAATTTAAAGTCATCTGGCTCTGTCTGCATTTATACCCAGCTCTTCCTTTTGACCTGGACCTTGAGATGAGGTCTGAATTTTCATTAATGGTCAGAGGTAACTCAGTCTGTTTCTTTGTTTAATGTTACTGAGCCTCCATTAATAATGGCAGTCTTCTGTTTGTTAAAGTAAATGCTGTGTATGGAGACAGTAAATGCGCTAATGTATGTTTGATGAAGTTCACTGGTTTCAAAAAGACTTGGAGTGCTGAATAAAACTAACACATACAACTGGTACAAAGATAATTTTGCATGTACCTGAAATGCAGCTACCCTGGAAATAAATGCAAAAATTGTTAAAATACATTTCAGTCCTTACAGTATTTTTAAGAAATAGATTAATTGTATTTTGTCTTTTGAAATTCAAAGGAGAAACCACACAAGTAAAACAAAAGTAATAGCCTTCAAATGTGGTCAAATGTAAGTTTTGTTTGGCCAGAACCAAGTGTTGCTGCTGTCAGTCTTGCAGGTTGAGCCACATGATGGAACTAGCTAGGATTTATGCATGTAACTTAGAACACCAACAACTGTAGAGGAAGTAACTTGAAGTATACTACTTTCAATCGCTGGGCTGCCTGCTTTGTTCTGAGTCTTTCTTCCAAATGATGCAACAGTGTTAACCAGGCTGTCATAACTGGTTGTGGGCATACCTGAGCCAGCTCAGGTATGAGTTAGCTTCTTTACATATCTGTAACTCTCTAGTCTCAGAGACTTTCCTGGGAAGCTGGGCAAATATTGGGGCAGCAGTGCTGTGCACGTTGTTTCCAGTACCTATACTGGCTAGTTTGTGGCTAGCAATAGTAGATCATTTTTGCTTTCCAGTCATCACACGTTATTCCATGGCTATAGAGCCTGGAAGATTTCAATGACCGATATTTGATGTTGTAGCTATCATCTGTTTTCCAGTATCATCTTGGCATTCTGTGCCCTGTTTTTTCTTCCTCTGTACGATGCCTAGGACAAGTCACTTGGGGTTGTGTAATTGTGTCAGGCAGCTGTCAGTCTGCAGGCCACAAAAATTACTAGTGTCAGTTGCTCACTGGTGATTGAAGCCGGAGCTTCAGACTCATGGATTTAAGACATGCTTGGATTCCTCTGCATTTCTACAGACAAGTTTTTAATACAAGCTCTACCTTGTTTTAACCTATCTACTGCACAGCATCTCACAGTTTGTCAGTTGGTTATTTTTGCCTGTATTTGAGTGTGTTAGAGCTACATTTGCTGTTCATGTTCAAAACCAGCCAATTTCTGGTCCCTGCCAGGATAAGGGGAGAAAATCACTGCAAAGTAAATGGAGAACAGTAGGTCTCAGGATCTAATGCCAACACGTTACTCTCACTGGAAAGCCATTGGATCCTGTCCCCACCTCCCCTTGCTGTGGCTTTTCTCCTCTGCTTGACCCTGGGTAGATAACTGTGTTTGCTTAAGTGATGCAGATGCAAATGAGGTCTGTGTTTAATAAAAAGAGGAAAAGTAAGCAGTGTCTTTTTCTGCGTGGCTTGATAGGCCTATCAGGGGAAAATGGTTCCTTGTAAAACAGATAAGGGAACCTCAATCCTCTCTCTCTGGCACCATGATAAAGATGGAGACACCAAGTCCACAGACGCCTTTAGATAC